GTGGAGATCACGGGCTTGGAGTGTGTTGGCCTGAGGCTGGAGGCTGCGGAGAGTTTGGCGATCTGGCTGGTGTACCGACCGCCTAACGCACTGGCCAGTAGCCTGTCGTCCCTACTGGAGGCCGTATCAGGCTGGGCGTTGGAGCACCCAAGGCTGGTAGTCATGGGTGATTTCATTGTCCATGCTGAGGACGCGACCTGTAGTTGGGCTACGGACCTAGTGTCATCCATGGCGGCACTGGGACTTTTCCAACTTGTAACGGCCCCCACGCACCAGGCTGTTCACATGCTCGATTTGATCTTCGCGGCTGGGTTGACGGTGGACCGGATTACTGCTGATGTGGTACCATGGTCAGACCACCATGTCCTGAAGGCCCATCTGAATGTTCCACCCCGACCCTGTTTAGGCGGCGAGCAGATTTTGGCTCGCCCAAGGAGCCAAATGGACCCATTGCGGTTTCAGATGGCTCTTCGGCATCCGAGGCCCCCTGGCGGATCGTTGGATGAGCTTGTGGAGGACTGGCATGGCTGACTCTCCACAGCCATCGACGATATCGCTCCCAGGCGCCCTCTCTGTACTTGCTCTAGGCTGGCGCCCTGGTATACCCAGGAGCTCCGGCTGATGAAGCGAGAGTTGAGACGGCTAGAGAGACGGTGGCGTCGCGCTCGTGACGAAGCATCGAGAGCATCTTTTAGGACATTTATGAAGGCCTATGAGATGGCGGTCAAGACTGCAAAGAGAGAATTCTATGCGGCCAGGATCGCATCTGCAAGCTCTCGCCCGGCCCAATTATTTAGAACAATTCGGTCTTTAACGATCCTGCCAGAGGGCAGACAAAATGCTAGGGAATTGGATATTGGCTGTGAGGCATTTGCGAGCTATTTTGCAGATAAAGTCTCGGCACTCCACCGCGACCTCCCTGCTACAATTGATACAATGAGTGAACTTGAGGCCCCTTGCACGTCCTTGATGCCGGGTTTAGAGTGCTTCAGCCCACTCAGTCTGGAGGAAGCTGACAGATTGCTTGCTTCTGTGCGCCCAACCACATGCAGCCTTGACCCGTGCCCCTCCTGGCTTATTAGATCTGGCCACGAGGGGTTGCAAGGTGCCTTACGGGAGATTATCAATAAGTCCTTCTCCGAGGGGCGATTCCCGGGGGCACTCAAGGAGGCGATGGTCTGCCCTCTCCTAAAAAGATCTTCTTTGGACCCGGCCAAATTGGCTAATTATCGACCGGTGTCCAATTTCAGGTATAGGGTTGGGGGGTAGAGACCACACCGGTCGAACTTTACCTCATGCTGCCTCTATTTCAACATCATTTTAAACCCTGACCTTCACAGAGGGAAAGCTACATGACGTAAGGGAGAAAGTGAGATGTGAGGATCGGCCATACCCCTCTCGAAATGCTCCCTGGGACCCATTCCTGCCGGCCAATGTCTCCAGTCCTTGGGGGCTACCATCTTTCTGCCCACCGCGAGTTTTCCCCCAGCCAAGGGCCCAACTTACCGGAAGGGATAGGAGAACTCCACGTCTATACTGAGGTCACTCTCGCTCTTGTTGGCGCATTCGACGCTCAGGCGGAATTCTCCGGTGTAGCTGCCGCACGTCGCAAACGCGAAGATGGAAAAGAACTATAGGGAGAACGACAGAGAGACAGAACATGAGAATGTAGGTCACTTTGTTCACTCCTATTTTTAGACGGCAGGCATTTCCATGAAGGAAACTGTATAACGCTCTCTACATGGGGCTGCCTTTGTCGCAAATCCGGAAGCTGCAGCTGGTGCAGAATGCTGCAGCCAGGCTGTTGATGGGCCTTCCTAGGGGGGCACACATCCAGCCTGTGCTGAAAGCGCTGCACTGGCTGCCGATAGCATACAGGGTTCGCTTCAAAGTGCTGGTTCTTACCTTTAAAGCCCTAGATGGCCAGGATCCGACATACCTACGGGACCGCCTCTCCCCATATGTTTCCCAACTAACACTACGGTCCGGGACTAAACATCTCCTGGTGGTTCCAGGTCCCAAAGAGGCCAGACTAGTGGCGACTAGGGCTAGGGCTTTTTCGGTGGCGGCTCCTACCTGGTGGAATGAGCTCCCAGAGGAGATCTGGGCCCTGCGGGACCTTGCACAGTTCCACAGGGCCTGCAAGACAGAGCTCTTCCGCCAGGCGTTTGAGTAGGAGCTGCCACGACTGTTACCATCTGTCTACGACTATTACTATCTGTCCTAGCCCTTTATTACCAACTCGCCGTGAGCGCTAAAATGGTGGTACTGCGTGGAGCTGTGGCCACTAAGGATACCATCCTGATGACGTCATCAGTTCCCTTGTTAGATATTGTGGAGAGCACTTATGTTGTATTGAATGTTTTTAAAATGCAGTTTTAATGTTTTATGTATTGGGCATTGGCCCCATCTGTACGCCGCCCTGAGTCAGTTCGCGGGGAGGGCGGGTTATACATTTAAATAAATAAATAAAATAATAAATTAAGAGCTCTGGAATTAACAGGGAAACTTAGACTTGAGGAAGTAAGAATTAGAGCTGAAGAAGAGAAATTAAATTTTGAGAGGGATAAGTTGAAATATGAATATGTATGGTTTGAAAAAAATAGTTAGAACCAGAGAAAATCAAAGAAGAAGGTCTAAACCCTCCAAGGATAACAACTAAGGATTTTACTTTGTATGTGGTAGGGGAAGAACCTCAGAGCTCCTTGGCTACTTTTGAGAAAGCTGCCCAAAACTGGAATATTTGTACCACACAGCTCATGAGATATCTACTCAGCCTCATCAAGGGGGAGCTACCAGAAGTTTATGAAAGTTTCCCCTCAGACAAAGCAATAAAATATGAAGATTTTAAACTGGCTGTAGTTAGGGTTCAAGTTAGGGCCTAATCATTTCAGAAAAAGATTCAGAAGTTTACAACCCCATTCTGGGGTTACGATTCCATTTAAATAAGATTATCTTTTTAAACACTGGATGAAGCATTCGGCATAGCTTTCCCAGATAAGAGCTCATGAATTCAGAAACCTGTTTCTAAGGAAAACTGCTAATGTGCTCACCTGCTGGGTGTTCTGGTCTACAAGTGAATGAAAGTATAAAAATACAATTTAAAAAGCGTGGGTTACACAGGAATCGGTTGCAAGCTGCACATGAATTCTTTCCCTCATTCACTCATTTTATGTTTGGTTGTCTTAGAAAGTTTCCTTTAGAGACTAACGTCCTACTTCTGCCGCTCTAGATCTATCATGAAGAGGTGCTGATTCAGCAGTGTGAAGGGCAGAGAGATATCATCCGTCAGCAGGACACAGTAACAGATGGAGGCCTTTAAAAGCAAGTTTGCTCTGGGTGTTAAGGTATCCCTAGCTGAAACAATTAAACACAGACCCCCTACAGAGAGAGGGGGGGTAGACATGTGTAGTTTTAATCTAATCTACCGAGATATATCAAGCCTGGGGCAGAGTAGAGAAACATTTGCCTCTCAATTGTAATATTTCATTAAAAAGCAAACAAAATATTGTTTAACAACATAATACCACAGCATTTTTGCCTTCTCTCCCCTGTATAAAGACTTAAGGAAAATGTCACTACCATTTTAAGTTTTCTGTTTCTCAATAGTCACCTTAATCCATGGTTGAGACAAGCTTTCCTTCATATACTTCTAGATTGATATACTTCCTTTATACCCCACTTTTCTCCCCAGGTACAAGTGGCTTATATTGTTCTCTGCAGTTTGGTATAGTGGTTAAGTGTGTGGACTCTAATCTGGGAGAACCGGGTTTGATTCCCCACTTCTCCACTTGCACCTGCTGATGTGACCTTGGGTCAGTCACAAGCTCTGGCACAGCTGTTCCTGAAAGAGCAGTTTGTGTCAGAGTTCTCTCAGCCCCACCCACCTCACAAGGTGTCTGTTGTGGGGAGGGGAAGGGAAAGGAGTTTGTAAGCCGCTCTGAGACTCCAAGTGAAGGGCGGGGTATAAATCCAATCTCTTCTTCTCCTCTCCACCATTATATCCTCACACCAATCTTGTGAGGTAGGTTGGACTGACAGTGTGTGCGACTGGCCAAAGGTCACCCAGCGAACAGATTTGGATTCAAACCTGACTCTCTCAGATCCTAGTCTCACACTCTTAACCACTCCACTGTGCTGGCTCGGGTAGTTCCTAACAGATAGTTTCTCTGTGATTTCTCCTCACCTCCCCTGTGTTGTTTATACAGGCATCTTGACAAATCCTAGAACTGTTTCAATCTTCAATTCTTCTCACATTACGTGAGACCCTGGGAGGGTAGGAAGGGGATTCAGTTCATTTGATTCGGGAGAGCAGCCACCACCATAGAAAACAGAAAGGAAATGGAGGCAGAAAATCAAATGGCGTCTCATCTCATAGGGTTCATTCATCCAAAATTCACCAGCACAGGCCATTGTTGTTAATTGTTAATTTAAATACAGAATGTTATTTTTAGCATAGTATTACTGCTGGTGTTTTGTATTTTAAATAGAATTTATAAGCCACCTTGAAGCAGCCCCGTAGCTAGAGATTATTGGGGGAGGGGGCCTGGAGGGGGTCTCAGCTAATTAAATAAGTCAATCACATTAATTCAATTTGAGACTGGCCTGGGAGAGAGGGGGCCCAGAAGAAATGCTAGGGGGCCAGGCCCCACAGGCCCCACGTTAGCTACGGGCCTGCCTTGAAGGCTAGTGTAGTAGGCAGGTGTTTTTAAACATAGAAGTAAAATGAAATTGAACAAGAATGACACAGGTCATGAATGGGAGGGCAGGAAGGGTTGAATCAGTGCTTAGGTCTTGTGGCCCTTTCTTACATGCCCAGGAAAATAGTGATCGCCACTTTGGCGTCAGGAAGCAATTTTTCTCCAGGCCGGTTTGGCCCCCAGTGATCCTGGAGGTTTTTTGTCGTCTTTGGGACGTGGAACAGTGGTCACTGGGGGTGTGGGGTGGGAGGTATTTGTGAATTTCCTGTATTGCACAAGTGATTGGACTAGATGACCCTGGAGGTCCCTTCCAACTTTATGATTCTAAGAATGACACAGGTGATTTTATGCCCTTCTCACACATTTCATGGGGCCGTTGCTCCGGGGAACTTCCTTATGTATCGTGACCTGTAGGTCAGATCTTTGTGCCCTAACTTTGACTCCCCAAATCAGCAGGCACAGAAGTAGAGGATCTGTGAGGAGGAAGGCCCTTGGCTCTGGCAGTTGTATGCCAGGCAGAAATCAGCAGGTGATTCTTTTTCATAAATTGTCTTGCCTTGCCTTTTTACACCAGCCGGTGTCAGCCTTCTGTGCCGCTATTAAATGCTCAAGAGCCCAGCTGAAGAAAAATTAAGGAGACAGTTCTGTTCACCGTGTCAGTTTAGTGGCATGCAGTTCTTTACTGAGCATAAAGCAACAAACTGGCATAACACTCAAAACAGCTTAACCAAAAAGCACTGTTAAATTCAAGTCTGCAGTAAAAGGGGCACACGGCTGTCAAATCACACTTGTGTTTCCCCATCTCCTGCTGTTTGTTAGTTAACAGTGTAAAGGGATCTGGAGAGCACAGTGCCATGAGGTGTTGAATTTACAGCCCTCCCCTCCACTCTCATTTCCTTGGCATTACATGTGCCCATATGCTGGGAGTGAAACAGTAAAGAGACCTTTTGGGGATAGGGGCTTAGTAGCACGCGGCTGTAAGCATTTTTGTCAACTCCTGAGTGAAGCATAGTCTAGGCCCAAGCTTGCTTCGTGATAACAAGGACAAATAAATTCAAATGGTTGCTTCACAACAAAACGCCCTAAGCTGTGTTGTGCCCCATATAATATGATCTGAAATGTAATTAAATAAGGTGGTAAAAATTACATATATCTGTTGGTCACTATGCCCTGACCTGGATAGCCCAGGCTAGTCTGGTCTCCTCAGATCTCAGAAGTTAAGCAGGGTCAGCCCTGGTTAGTCCTTGGATGGGAGACCACCGAGGAAGTCCAGGGTCGCTATGCAGAGGCAGGCAATGGCTAACCACCTCTGAACACCTCTTGCCTTGAAAACCCTAAGGAGTCACCATGGCAAAAAAAAGTCACCGTGCATGTGCAAAATATGTTATCTGGGGCTGCTTCCGCAGGGAGGTTTTGTCTCTCTTTTGCATCCAAACTAGGGTGGGGTGGGGGTTTTTTTTGGAGCATCCACATGACATCGTCCCCTAATCAGACACTTTCTGGGTTTTCCTTGCTTTGCTTCCGTCTTTGTCATGGGGCTACAGCTTGGGGGTGATCCATGTTTTGAGAGATCCCAGGTAAAAGACGATCCTTTTTGCTTTCAGTTTTCCGTGTGGTTACTCATAATAAATTTTATTCTTTTTAAATTATTGGTGTTATACCTGTTACTTGCATTTTAAAAAGGTAAAGGTTCTCTTGCTCGAAAGTCAGTCGAATCCGACTCTAGGGTTGCGGTGCTCATCTCCGTTTCAAAGCCGAAGAGCCAGCGCTGTCTGAAGACGTTTCTATTTACTACTGTAAAGTGAAGGTAAAGGTTCCCTTGCTCGAAAGCCAGTCGAATCCGACTCTAGGGTTGCGGTGCTCATCTCCGTTTCAAAGCCGAAGAGCCAGCGCTGTCCGAAGACGTTTCCGTGGTCATGTGGCCGGCATGACTATACACCAAGGCGCACGGAACGCTGTTACCTTCCCACCGAAGTGGTACCTGTTTATCTCCTTGCAATTTCTTGCTTTCGAACTGCTAGGTTGGCAGGAGGTGGAACTAGAGACGGGAGCTCACTCCGTCATGCGGCACCCGGGTCTCAAACTGCTGAACTACCGATCTTCCACAGCCTGCAGTTCAGCGTCTTAACCACTTGAGCCACCGCAGCTCCTTGCATTTTACAGGCCTGTTAAAAGAGAGATCCAGAGACAGCATATCGGTCCTCATCACTGATCTCTTCTGTGTTGTCTGGTGTAGCCATAGTCCGTCTGTGTTGCTGGTTGTAGTGCAGTTTAAGCTGGCACAGCAGATATTGCCTGTTGCTGAGTAGGCATGCCTTCGTGCCTCTACATTTGCATCAGCAGTGATAGGAAAATGGAGAATCCTTGCATTTACTTTCACCCCAGTCCTCCCCTGTCTGCATTGTTACCTCCTTGTGTGATATCAGATGAAAGGGGAAAAATTGGTTCTGTCAGGCCACTGACAGCACTGTATATTGCTGTGGTGAAAGAAGTGGGGCATTGAAAACCATTTCTCCCCTACCTGTCTGCATGATAGGTAAGTGGAAACTCAGACATTTGCCTCTGTGCCTGGCAAATGCAGCCAAAGAGAGAACAGAGCAGCAAGAAACCAAGAATTGCTGAGTATATAGAATCAAATCAAAGCCTTCCCTTCAAATAGCACTTTGGAAAGTAAACAGCACTTTGGAAAGACAGGCGTTACTGCCATCCTCTTGAGTGGCAATATCTGTGTATAACTGCTGGCTGGTAATCATCCCTGACAGTAACATACTGAGGGTGATTTCCCACAAGCGCTGCTCCACGCTCACTCTTCTCTTTGGCCCCATGGTATGTGTCAATTTCACACAAGCTGCTGCGCGACCGCATTTTGTCCCGCAGGTTCCTGCGATTTTCCCCGCGTCTACTCAATCCTGTTTTTTGAGGATTCAGTAGACGCAGGGAAAATCGCATGAAGCTGCGGGGCAAAATGCTGCACACAGCAGCTTGTGTGAAATTGACACGTACCATCGGGGCAAAAGGGAGGAGTGAGCGCGGAGCAGAGCTTGTGGGAATTCACCCTGAGTCTTTCTCTCTCCTCATCCTCCTTTCCTATCTCCTGAACACTGTCCAATAGCCAGGTGCCAGATCACACTAATGGCCAAATTTTAATGCTGCTGAATATTACCATTGCCAATTTTTCAATTCAGATTAGTTATATATAAAACGACACTAAAGTATGGGGAGTGTCCAGTTTGTTTCTTGATTAGTTAATGTTTGGCTGCACATCATTAATTAAAATCCCTGCATAGCAGTTGCAGTATATTCAAGAGGAAGAAGTAAATGGTTCCAGTTTCTTTCTTCTTGTTCACTGGTGACCATGATAACCACATCTAGATATACTCAGCAACTGACCATGTGCAGAGTGTTTTTACTTCATGGCACATACGGCATGATGCAGTAGTGACTCATGGTGAGATATTCTTGCTGGGAAACAAGGTGCTTATATGTTTATTGCTTGGTAGATATATTTTATGTTTTCATCAGTAGCAGAGAAAGAAGAGGGACAGTGACTGAGACCTCATGATGTACATCGTGGTGTGGAAGTGTGTTCTCTCAGCAGTATCTAAGGGTGTGATCACACAAACAGTTGGGCCTGACACA